TTTTTTTTGTTTCAGTTTCGAATTGTAACTTTTAAACAATTGAATCCACATTAGCTGTGGTCGACTGTGTACATCGATAGGCATCGAAAAGATAGTAATTTCATTTGTCGGAGGTGTTTGCAGTAACAAGACAAGTCCAGATGGAAAACATATAGAGACAAAGTACAAATTCTTTACGAAATATACACACCTAGTCTGTAGCAATCCATTTACATATTGTATTCTGTAATCTATGCTGACTGTAGACTGTCTTCGTTAGTTCTCCTTCTGGTCTGCGGATACTTTGGACATGTGGAGTGCACTTAGATCTCTTGACACTAAACGATGTTCCACCGCATACACACGACTTATTACATACCGTAGATGGAACACCTGTTTCTTTACGTCCTAACTTACCAGACAGGTTGGTTGAAGAACACTGAGACTAAAAGCAGCTACTCTAGGTTTGAGGGTGAAGTCGTACTGACGACTTTACAGGAGTACCACAGCAGTAAGGTTTTTCCCTCAGACAACCAGTAAAAAATGTCACACCTCACCTTACCTCACGGATTTCCTTCACCGATGGTAAGGCCTTTTGAACAAGGCAGAAGCTTTCAATTCAAAGACCCACAAAAAGGCTGTGCGTGACCGATCTCAAGCAGTTGTTATTTGATCTCTGCGGTCACACTGCCAGGTCTCTAAAACCAGCAATAATCTACCTTCCTTTTCAGGTTCCTCAGGAAACACCCTCCCACAGTGTAGGCAGCCGGGAACTGACATTTGCCCTCATACCAGTAACAGCACATGAGACCGAATCGGTCACAATCAAATCCTTCCTACACCCGCTAACATCTCCCTTATCTCAACGATGCACCATTCTCACACCCCTTTATCACCGTGCACCGCTAATGCAGACGTTTCGAGTTCACGAAACGTTATTCCTGGTTAGTAATTTCTGCCCGTGTACTTTCTATCTAACATAATATGGCCAAATGTATTTAATAACTAGTCAGTCAGTCAGTCAGTTGCAACGTAGAACTTCGTACGTAAGTACATCAGTTCATGTCGCCATACCACATCAGCACAGAGATATAATTGTCAATTGAAATCCAATAGTAGAAGAGGTAGTAAAGGTATTAGAAGTAATCGGAGAGGTTAGGATGAGAAGATATTATTCACGAAGTATGATTCAATGAGATAAGTTTAGAAAGTCAAAACTAGAGGTGTTGAAGAATCCAGAAGATTAGGATTTGAGAGAACACAAAGAATAAATGCACTGGCGCCATTGCAAACGATTTTGAGCCATGTCATTCAAGGTCTCTAACCATCGATTATTATCATCTCGCGGACCCCAACCAGGTAGTCGACAATTACCGACATGGCTAAGTCCACTCGTCAATGATTTCATGGATTTGTGCCATGTTTTGGTTTGGCCGCCCCTAACTTTCTTCCAACCTACTCCTACACTACAAAACAAAGCTCGTCGAGGCAGTAGCTGGTTAGGCATACGCAACACGTGTCCCAACCACCTCAACTGATGAAGTTTCACCACTTCATCGATTGACCTGCCATTCTTACCGTGCAACCGTTTCCGAATAACAGCATTGCTCGCTCGGTTGTCCCAGGATGTACGAGCAATGCTTCGAAGACACCTGTGTTCGAAAACCAGTAACCTACAAATATCTTCTACTCTCACTGGTCATGTTTCACAGCCATTAAGTAAAACGGAGTGAACTACTGCTCAGTACACTCGTCCTTTAGTCGCCTACGCCATAAGTGACGCAGCTTGGCAAAAGCGAACCGAGCCTTCTGTATCCGTGCTGAGATTTCTTCAGTCACCAGGCCATCAACACTGATGAGGACTCCCGAGATAAGTGAAGCGGTCTACGCGTCCGACCACTTCACTCCCTATCACTAGTTCAGGTGCCGATGCAACCCAATCTTGAAGCAACATTTTACACTTCGACGGGGAGAATCGCATCCTGAACATGCTTGCATTGTTGCTTAGGATAGTCAGGGGACACTGCATTTTCTCAGTCTCTTCACCGAATAAAACTATGTCATCGGTACATTTTAAGTCAGTAAGCGTGTCTCCTGGTATTTAATAACTAGAGTGAAACTTAACATGGCAGCAGTTAATACTGTATAACAAAAAGACATCTTACACATTCACCTAATCTAATCTTAACAAAACATAAAAATGTCGTCTAATTTATATTCTGCGCAATAATCATATCGCCATTTGCACATGAACATCGGGGGTTGAACTTTAGTTCAGAGTCGGATAAAAACTTTCAACATTGTATAAAGAAAGAGGGATGATTATATCCCCCCCTAAATGCTTAGTAATTTCAGGAATCGGAACCGGCAGTGCCTTTCATTAAAAGGTCTAACAAAGAAGTACATTAAGCTTATACAAGCTCTTTCTACTCTAAAACTACTGGTCGGGTGAGAGCTTATGGCGAACGGTCATCAGAATTCTCTAATTCAAGTGGTGTCCGTCAGGGATGTCTACTCTCTCCATTCTTGTTTAATTTTATCATAGACATGCTCCTAGAAATAACCTTATCCTCTTCTGAATGTTCTGGAGTAGACCTTCTACCAGGTGGCTCACTTATTGACCTAGAATATGCCGATGACATAGTTCTATTCGATAGAGACGCTGAGAAAATGCAGTCTTCTGACTACCCTGAGCAACAATGCAAGCATGTTCGGGATGCGGTTCTCCCCTCGAAATGCAAAATGTTGCTTCAAGATTGGGTTTCATCGATACTTGAACTAGTGATAGGTAGTGAAGTAGTCGAGCGTGTTGACTACTTCACTTATTTCAGAAGTCACATCAGAGCCGATGGCCTGGTGACTGATGAAATCTCAGCACGGATAAAGAAGGCTGGATTGGCTTTTGCCGACCTGCGTCACTTAAGGCGCAGGCGAGATATCCGTTTGCCAACCGAAGTACAAGTGTACTGCGCGGTAATTCGCTCCGTCCTACTTTATGGCTCTGAAACATGGCCAATCAGAGTAGAATATATTCGTAGGTTACTGATTTTCGATCATAGGTGTTTTCGAAACATTGCTCGTGTATCCTGGGGACCACCGTATAAACAATGCTGTCAATGAGGAAACGAGTTCTAAGTAAGGATGGCGGGTCAAAAGATGAAGTATTGAAATTTCATCAGTTGAGGCGGTTGCGACATGTTTTAGGAATGCCTAACCACCGACTGCCTCGTCGAGCTATCTTTTGCGATATAGGAATAGGTTGGACGAAAACTAGGGGCAGCCAAACCAAAACATGGCACAAATCCATGAAGTCATTGACAAGTGAACTGAGTCACGTTGGTAGGTGTTAACTACCTGGTTGTGGCCCGCGAGATGATAACAATCAATGGTTAGAGACACTGAGTGACATGGCTTAAAACCGTTTGCAATGGTGCATATATTACATGTTTACATGGCCACAGTGAACACAGACAGATCCATGGAACGATAAACAGCATTTTCCACTTCATTTACATATTTTCATCATTTTAAAAGTCAGTTAACAATTCAATCGAAATACATTTTAAAAAAACTAATTCAATCAATAGAAGCATTTGGAAAAAAACACACTATACTATATTACCTACCGATCAATAGGAATATCTAAATGATAAACATTTTTCAATACAGAAGTAGTACAATGTAGAATTTGTTCAACAGACCAACCAGAACGAACTATTAAATTAATTGAATTAGGCCATAATGGAGATAATCGTTTTAATTCACATTGGCTTGTTTCATTATTTAATAAGTAAGAAGAATCACCGTCAAGATCTAGTACATACAATGATAGAGAAATTTCTTCTGGACTAATACATTGGGATAGGGAAATTCGAATCTGGGGAAAGGAATAAACGACAAAGCAATGACAAATTATTATGATTCACACAAATATTGCCTAGATCGCATTTAATATTTATTGAATGAGCTCAACAAACGAATAAATGATCAGCAGAGTTACATTTTTGATAGCATGAATTGATCATTGTTAGACCACCAACATGAGGAACCTGGAAGTATTGGACAGCTGTCTCCTTCTAGTATGGAACTCATCAACAGTGTTCATATCATTCACGACACCCGCAACTTGTAGGATTTAATTATAGGACCTTCTTTCATGGGTGTCTTAGATACTGGGCCCAGTGGTTCAGCGGTTAGGCGTAATCGCGCAAGACACAAAGGTCATTGGTTCGAATCTTGAGAGTTGCGTGTGTCGTGGATGATGAGCACTGCTGATGAGTCTCATACCAACACGTGACGGTAGTCATTCACTGCTTACAGGTTTCTAATGGTGGTCTAACAGTGATTGATTTGTGATTTCAAAAAGGAGTAACTCAACAATTTCCGAAACCTTATATCATGCAGATTTATCAGAGCATATAATGAATTCTTAGGATATTCATTCAATATCCTAAGAGAATTATAGGTCAATTCCTATTGGTTAATTCCTACTGGTCAATTTTATGATCGTCCTAGATATCAATGTCACTTGCTCCTGTTGTTTCTTATTGGTTGTCCTGACTGTTATTGTCACTTCAAATGTTGCTTCCTATTGGTCGTCTTAACTGTCAATGTCACAGAATTCGATGTTGTTTCCTATTCAACCTAAATGTATAAATACGCATTATCTGTAACGTTTTATGACCCGGATCCTTAGTCCGGGATCCTGATTCTCTTTTGGACTCGGAAATCATACTTTCTGGATGTTTGTAGAATACATGTTCTACTTCATATCAAGTCTTCTTCTTTTACTCAATGGGGGTTTGGGACACTCGGATTAGAGTGGTATGTCTTGTCGCCGGATCCTCGATCCTCGCTCTTGTTTACTGACTAAGGTAAACTCGTAATAGTTCAAGCATATCAAATGACATGTTAACGCGTCGTATACGTAACACTTTTCAATTTCAAAAAAGAATAAAATTGGATGACCACTAATTATTACTGGCCAAATTATTTTATGCTTGTCTAATGGTTAAGGTTAGGGTTAGGGTCACCTTTATCACGACGGCATAAAAAGACAATATTTTGCGCGGATTCCCCATACTGGATACGATCTAATCGAAAAGGAAGAAAATCAAACTGTCTTTGTTACGTATGCACGTAAACAAGTCAACTTAATATGCTTGAACTATTACGAGTTTACCTTAGTTGGAATACGAGATGAGGATCGAGGATCCGGTGACACGATAAGCTACTCAAATCCGATTATCCCAACCATCATATTGAATAAAAAAAGAAGACGTGATATGAAGTAGAACCTGTATTCTACAAGCATCCAGAAGGTACGAGGTCCAAATCCGTAAGAGAATCAGGATCCCTGACTAAGGATCCGGGTCCAGGTCATAAAACGTTACAGATAATACGTATTCATACATTTCGGTCGAATAGCAAACAGTATCAATGTTTGTGACATTGACAGTTAAGACGACCAATAAGAAGCAACGTTTGAAGTGACATTGATAGTCAGGACAACCAATAAGAAACAACATTGGGGCACGTGACATTGATATCTAGGACGACCATAAAATTGACCAGTAGCAATCAAGCAATAATTCTCTTAGGATATTGGATGAATATCATTGATTGAACCACAACAGTGCATTTACAAATAAAACAAAGTAGTTCTTGATAAGCAGTATCAAGTGCCATGTGATATGTTTGTCATATACATTGGATACAATTGACAAATTCATAATTGGAAAGGCATGTTTCAGTAAAAAGTAAGGTTAAACAAAAACCACACTACCAACTAACTACACAATGC